TATAGCCTATCCCTGGTCTCAAGCAGAAATGAATAATTTCAGCCCCTAATTAATCTCCACCTTCTTTTTTCCCCCCTTATTGACAGATAATGATGAAATTAGCATCTTTGCAAATTGGCCCATCTCTAAGGGAGATTAGAATTATGCTCAAGGGTCACTTTCTTGACAAATCAGACTAATACTTGGTCCCCAGACCTGATGTGTCATTTCCTGCCCCAACACAGAGGCTCTCCCTGGAACCCTTCTTTTTAACAAAGAAAAAGAGTTGAGCAAAGCCAGTCCACATAGTGACTGTGTCTATCAGCATCTGCAAAATTTCTGCATTCATGCCTCAATTGCTCTTCTCTTACCAAGATGTTTCATCATTGCTCCCCTAAAAACAAGACTGGTGATTGGATTCCATCTGAATTTGGATATCATTTGATGTTGTATTCACTGTTAGAGTTTTGTCAGCATGGTGTACGTTGTACTCCTGGATCTATCTGCTTTGATCTACATTCATTCCAGCAGGCCTTCTCCTGTTTCTCTCAATTCTTTATATTCATCATTTTCTTGTAGCTATTATTGCTTTGACTGAACTTGTGATTTCATTGTGTAGAGAACTCCCCAAAAGGTAACTGCTACTTACTAATACAGATAAACTCCTGCTCTGTCTTCAATGTATCTCTTCTTCAGTGTTGCCCGAGAGGATTGTGAGATTAAGTAAGTTTTCCAGGGTTACAGGACCATTTTATGTCAGAGATAAGACTTGAAATGTCTTGTAGACCCAGACTGACTCAATCTACGAAACCATTTTGCCTCTCCGTCATGTTATGATGCGCTAATATTCCTTTTCATGTATTTACATTTATGTAGCCGAGGGGCAACTAGGTGGCACCATAGTGCATAGAGCACAGGAGCTGGAGTCAGGAAGACTTAAGTTCAAGTCTGACTTCAAACACCTACTTAGCTGTGTGACCCCCGGCAAGTCACTTAACTCTGCCTCAGTTCCTTCATCTGTAAAATAGTGTCAATAATAGCACCTATCTCCTAGGATTGTTGTAAAAACCAAATGAGATAATAATTGTAAAATGCTTAGCATAGTGCCTGGAACATAGTAAGCACTATATAAATGTTAGCTGCTGCTGTTGTTGTCTTTCATATACCACAATTTCCCTAACTTATGGGGACCTACTTTGTTTCTTTTTTCTTTTACTTTTATTTTTGGTACCACAAAAAAATGCTGTTCTGAATATTTTGACACATATGAGACATTTCTCTTTGCTGTTAACCTCCTTGAAGTATATTGCCAAGAACTGGATCACTAGGTCAAAGAGTATGAATGATTTAGCAATCTGTCTTGCATAATTTCAAATCATTTTCGAGAATGGGTGGACCAATTTGTAGATTAGTAATAGCACATATCATGTGCTTGTCTTCTCACACTATGTTCAGCATCAACTACTTAATTATCATTCTTAAAAATATAGCAGATGGGTTCAAGGTTTGGGGCAGCTAGGTGGTGCAGTGAATAGAGCACCAGTCCTGGAGTCAGGAAGACCTTAGTTCAAATCTGGTCTCAGACACATAACACTTACTAGCTGTGTGACTCTGGGCAAGTCACCTAACCCCAATTGCCTAGCCCCCACATACATGCATACATACATACATACATACATACATACATACATACATATATATACAATATATATGTATATCAGATGTGAAACTAAAACTTGGAGGAGTTTTAATTTGTATTTTTCCTTTTATTATTGATTTTCTTCATGTTATTGATTTTTTTCATTTTTAACCTTTTTGTTCATATTCTTTTAGTATGTGCTTATTTTAATTTTTTATATCTTTAATTTTTATTTTATGTTTGTTTTATTTCATTTTAGTCTCTTAATCATAGGCATTGGTGGTCAACTCCTTAAGTTCTACGTTTTGAAGGCTTTTCTCAGAAATGTTTGATCCAAAGATATTTTTCCCACCTCATACCTTCTCTTATTATCTTAGAAGCTTTTATTTTATTCCTACAAAATATTTTAAACATCCAAAATAATCCATTTTGTCTTTTGTGACCTCTTCCATCTCTTGTTTGGTTGTGAAGCACTCCCTCCCAACCCTCCAAAAAAGCATCGAAAAGATCTCAAGATTCCAGTTAACTACAGGAGAAGATATAACTCTATGGCATTGAAAGCTCTTTCGAACCTGGTCCTTCTTGGTGTTCCAGTCTTCCTAGATGCTAATCTCTTTCTTATCCTCTATAATCCAGCTCCACTGTCCTCCTTGCTGTTCTCATACATGACACCCCATCTCTCCACTCAATGCCTTTGCACTAGCTTCCCCCAATGCCTAGAATGTTCTCCATCCTCATTTCACTAGTTTTCCTGGCTTCTTTCAAGACTCAAGTTAAACCTCATCTTCTTTAGGAAGGCTTTCCTGGTCCCTCTAGCAGCTCTGAGGTTATTTGCCACATATTCAGTGGATGTATCTTGTATGAACCCAATTATTTATAACTTGGCCCCCTTTAGAATATGAACTCTTCAAGGGTAAGGATTCCATTTTTTTAAACTTTCTTTGTATCTTTACTTAGCATTACTTAGCACAGTGCCTGAAGTGAAGGGAAGAGAATATAAGCATATATTAAGCACCTTCTGTGTGCTAGGCACAGTGACTAGTACTTTAAAAATGTTATCTCATTTGACTCTCCCATCCATCCTGGGAGGCAGGTGCTATTAATATCCCTGTGAGACAAACAAAGATTAAGCAACTTGTCCAGAGTTACACAACTAGAAAATGTCTGAGACTGGATTTGAACTCAGGTCTTCCTGACTCCAAGACCAAAGATATGTCAACTACTTCACCAGCTGCCTCTAGATGGCATTAATAAATGCTTGTTGATTGATTATTTTAATTATTAATTTTGTGATGTGATCATTTACTTTTAGATTGATTATCCAATTGGAGAGGGAACTTTTTGCTCTAACAGACTGAGTTCTTGGATTTATCTAATACGACCTGTTGTGATTTTTTTTTTTTTTGCTTCTATGCTGTGCTCGTATAATTGGCTACCCCAATGCACTTCATTTTTTATGCAGTACCAAACAATATTAATTTAGTACTGCTTTATAATCTACCTTTACATTATAGCTATGGTAATTCTAGGCTTCCTTCATTCCAACTTTTGAAAATTACTTCCTTAGAAAATCTTGACTTTTTGTTCTTCCAAATTAAATTTGCTATCGTTTTGTCTAGTTCTGTAAATCAATCAATAAGCATTTGTTAAGCACTCATTACGAGCCAGACACTGTGCTAAGTTTTGGGGATACAAAAAAAAAAGAGGCAAAAGATGATCTCTCCCCTCAAGGAGTTTACAATCTAATGGAGACAACATGCAAACAAATATGTACAAATAAGCTATCTGCAGTATATGTGTGTGTGTGTGTGTTACCTTTTATTTGAGGATTTTTCTTGATCAATTGAGATAATCAGACTATCATTGTTTAGTTTTGTATTGATATGTTCTGATGTCATTTTCTTGTTTGTTTGTTTGCTTCTTTTTTTTTAGGCAATTGGGGTTAAGTGACTTGCCCAGGGTCACACAGCTAGTAAGTGTCAAGTGTTTGGTCTAAGGCTGGATTTGAATTCAGGTCTTCCTGACTTCAGGGACAGTGCCTATCGACTGCACCACCTACCTGCCCTGTGATATCATTTTCTTGGTCTAAGGAAGTCACAGTGAGGACTTCTACCACTGAAAACTGTCACTTGCTCTCAATTTGTCCTCAGAGAGTTACATGGAAGCAATGAGAAATTAACTAAACTGACAGACAGAACTTGAGTTCAGGCCTTGCTGACTGAAAGGCCAGAGTCTAGCCATTTATTCCATACTGACTCATTTTGTTGTTTATATGAACAATTGTGGTAATTATGCTTCTAACGATGAACTACCTTTACATCTCTGCTAAAAATATGACTTGGAACTAATGAATCATTTTTGAAGATGTCACTTTAGTCTCTTTACTAAAATTTTATTTACAATTTTTGCGACATTAATTAGGTATGTTAATCAATAGTTCCCAGTGCCGTCCACCCCTGGTTTGGGTATCAGACCTATATTTGGCTCATAAAGAAGTTTAGTAGAATGACTTCTTTCTCTATTATTCAGAATGATGTTTGTAGCAAAGCATATATATATATATATATATATATATATATATATATATATATGATACAAATTACATATAAATCCCTCCTGACCAGCTATGTTTCATTTTGCTTCAATTCTTAGGTTTTCTTTAGTCATTCATTTATATTTTACTCAATTTCTCTAAGACTGGTTTTATCTCTATATCACCCTTTGTTGATTGGTTTTATACACACACACACACACACACACACACACACACACACACACATATATATTTAAAAATTACCATTTGTTTCCTTTAAAGTTTTTTATTTTCTTAGTATGTAATTGTATATGGAAGTCTTCTCTTTCTTGAAGGGTTGGTTCAGGCACCATTTCCACTACGAAGTCTCCCCTAATACTCATACAAGCCTTCTCTTCAATTGTCTTGGAGCAACATGTTTCGATTATTATACCCCACCTTGTTTCCCATGTATCTTCATTCTAGGGGATAGAATGTTGGATTTGGAGTCAGGAGGATCTGAATTTGAATTTTACCACAAAGGCTTACTATCTCTGTGACCTCTTTGAGCCTCAGTTTCCTCATCTATAAAATGAGGATGATAATAATAATAGTGCTTACCTCACAGGGTTGTTATGAAGATCAAGGAAGGTAAATTATGTAAAGTACCTTGCATACCTTAATTCACTGCATAAATGCTAGCTCTTATTATTGTTGTTATTATTATCATTATTTGGTATTCTTCCAGTATGATGTATTCTTTAAGGACAGAGATAGTCTTTTTTAAAAAAATTTCTATCTTCAGTGCCTAGCACGGTGCCTTTCACATAGAAATTACTTAATAAAGGTATAATTCACTTACATTCACAGGTGGATGTTTGTTTAGTAAATTTTAGCAGCTCCCAGGAAGATTCTGCTATCATGATATTCCCTATCTCTGCGCCTGAAGTTTCCAACACGCTTACTATGGATATTGAAAAGAGGTAGTAAAATACAAATGTTCTGTCTATAGATAAGAAAGAAATGGAATACAGAGTAACATGTTAAGCCACTATGATCCATTAACAACATAAGCACAAATTAGCATATCAGATGAAGTGTTGATCTATTAAGGCTCAGAGGGAATGGGGTATGAGAGATGGATTTTGATTAAGTGAAGGTGAACAGAGGACTGTGGAAGAATAGAGTACAGGACTCTGTCTGGGCACCTGATGCCCATGGGAGAGCACCTTGAGCAAAGAGGGAAAAATTCTCTTCCTTTTACTCCCCAAACCCTTTATCCTCTTCACAAATTTTCCTATGACTCTCCCTCAGGTTTAAAGCATATATTTGCATTCTACAGATTTGTTTTACATAGTTTTGCATATTTGAGTATATCTTCTTCCACCAGTTTCTTAGTAGAATTCAGTTGAACTCAATAAACATTTATTAAGGGCATACAATGTGTCAGATACTGTGCTGGGTCTTAAAGACACAAACAATTAGAAATTCTATTTCCGTTTTCCTGTGTAAGTGTTTCCAGATCAACTTGGCTCGATTTGGTGTTCTTGCTTTTCTGCTAATCTCTCCTAAGGCCCAAACTGGTCAAGATCCCAATCCATGTTTCCTGGAGTAGGGGAGAGGATTTCTCTATGGTCATTCATACAGTCCAGCTGCTATTGGCAACCTGTTGCTACAGATACTCATAGGCTTTTCCCACCTGCTCTTCCACCCTTTCTCCTTAGGTCAAAAACTTAAAGATGAATTTTTCTCATGGTACCTTTTAAAATCTGCCTTTGGTAATGGTTTCTACAGATACATCCCATGATGTCAAGCAATATATTCTCTCAGCATGAACTGCATACCCTGTTGCTAAAGGACATTGCTAATAACATTCTTCATCCATGATCCTCCTAATGCCCTACCCAGCCCTGCCAGTAGAATCTTGTCTCTGGGACCACATCCATACAGGAGCAAAGAGAGCTTATCCACACACCCCACCTCTTTGTTCAGGTGCCTGGAGACAAATAGGTGCAGCACCTGCCACGTCAATGGAATGATGAAACATATGTTCTGAAGCCTCAGATATCTGAAGACCCACAGAAATAACAGCAGTGAAGCAAGCAATCAACTGATGTAGATGCATGTGTGTGAGCACGAGCTATCACTGACAGAAAGGAAGAGAAGCATATTTCCTGGCCTAAGCTGCTCACCCAGTCCAGGCCTTGCAGCCATGCAGCGGATCACCCTTTGTAAAGATGTGGCCTGGCAACCACTTCTGCACTCATTGTGCAGCCCCTGCTTCAACAGCTACAGCTACCGAAGACCCCCGAAGTCCATGGCCCTATCAAATGGTTCACCATGAGAAAGACAGCTGGCCCAGTAGATAGAGCTCTGGGCCTGAAGTCAGGAAGACCTGAGTTCAAATATAACCTCAGACTGTATGACCCCTGGCCAAGTCACTTAACCTATGTCTCAGTTTCCTTCTCTGTAAAATGGGGATAAAAATAGCACCTACCTCTCAGGATTGCTTTGAACATCAAATGAGGTAATATTTGCACTTAGCACAGTGTGTGGCACATGGGAAGTGCTAAATGAATGTTTGTTATTATGTGGTTTTAGCAATGTAAATGATACTAAAGAAGATGCACTATTATCAGTTTTGTCACTGTACTCTAAGGATCATGGGACTACCGCTGACTTACAGTTGAAGCCTTCCATGGGTGTGGTTTCCTCTCATTAGAATATAAGCTCCTTGAGAACAGGGATTGTTTTGCTTTTCTGTTTAAAGCCCCACTGCTTTGAACATAGGAAGCACTTGTATTTTTAAAATTAATGCATTCGTTTGTTGTTTTATTCTTTGTATCGTGTAAGATATTTATTGATGATTTGATTCATTAATGTAAAAGATTTTTTGAAAACAAAGTCAGACTAAATTTATTACATAGTGATTAGAAAGCCCAGACACTGTAGATACTCAGCTGGGAAAGTATCACTAGATGGATTAATTCTTTATGCCTCTCCAGGCAGCACTGCAACAAAAAAATGAACTCTTCTTAGGCTCAGTATTCTCAGCTGTAAAATGGAAATAATAATCCCTACCTCCCAGGCTTCTTCTGAGAAGGCAACAAAAACACCATGTGAACCTCAAAGTGTTATAGAAATGGGAATGATTTTTGCTTTCAATAATAATGATGATGCTATGGTACTGATGATGAAATGATGGTGGTGGTGGTGGTGGTGATAAAGGTGGGGGTTAGAGTGGGGATAATAACATTGCACTCTAGTAGATGACGCAGAACTGCATGTTGATGGCCCTCACAGGAAATGTTTTCTCTCTGTGGATTGTCACTGCTTGGTAAATTTCCATGGGGTGTTGTGCTGTGCAGATCCCTCTCAAGAGGCTTCTCACATTACTCTCTTTATTTTTTTTTTTCTTCTAGCAGACATTGTGAGAGCAATCAGGCTACCGTTCCAGAGCCTGACTGATTCTCCTGCTTTTGGTTAAAGAAAGCTTTGGGCTTTGTTCCTTCTCTATTCCCTTGATTTTCTTAGGGTGTATCCTCCTGCTAATGTTTATGCAAATACTAGAAGTTACCAAGGCACTTACCAGCTGTGTGACCTTGGGTGAAAAAGACTTTCTGAGTCTCCGTTTTCTCATCTGTAAATGTAGATAATGCTAGCATTCATTCATCTATCTCATAGATCTGGGGTAAAAATACAGTGTCTTTTATCCTAGGGATCAAGCAACGTCATGCCTGTAAAATGTTTTGACACCTTAAAGCCCATCTTTCTACTTCTCTCAATAGGCCCAGAAGTCGTAGGATCGAGTAAACACATAGAATCTCAGTTTGGAGACACCCTCCACTAAGCTGTAGGACCTTTTCCATTATCCAGATTGTAAAGCATAAAACAAGTTTCAATACTTCAATGCTATCTTCACGGTTGATATTCTGTCCAATGGCATAGATCAAAGTTCATTCAGATCTAGAAGAAATATTTTATCAGATGATAAGAGAGGTGATGGAACAGTCTCCAAGAAGCTGTCATTGGGAATTCGATTGAAAGTGCATCAAAGTAACTTGCTTTTATAGCCTAGCACAAGGGTGGGGAACCTGTGGCCAAAAGGCCATGTGTGGCTGAAAGGCCACACATGGCCCTTTAGGTCCTCAAGTGTGACCCTTTGACTGAATCCAAATTTCATGGAACAAATCCCCTTAATAAAAGGATTTGTTCTGTAAAACTTGGACTTAGTCAAAAGGCTGCACCTAAGGACCTAGAAGGCCACATGTGGCCTTTTGGCCACAGGTTCCCCACCCTTGGCCTAGTGGAAAGGTCAGGTTATTCTCTGAGCAAAGCCCTTACAAGGTGGGATGAGACTTTGGAGGTTTCTTGGGTACATTCTAAGACACTTTTAATAATCTGGTTAACGCCAAATCTGCAAATCAATACGTCCACTGGCTTCAGAAGGAAAGTGGTTTCATTGCAGAGGATGACAAGGTATTTGTGTATTTGGCCTAGGATCTCTAATGAAATCATTTAGACCTTGATAGATCCACACATGAAGTTCCAGGAAGGTGAATTAGAACTTAGAAATGAATTGATAAAGGTAGATGCAGAAGAAACTTTATTAGAACTCATCAAGTAGAGTACTCAAGTAAAAGCACAGCTCTACTCATTGACCCTAATCTCCTTGTGGACAGCATTCTCCACTCAACTCCACAACCCTAAAAACTTCATCCAGAAGAGCCATGAAACCCAAGATGTGATCAACCAAACATAAAATGACTACTGAAAATGTCCAGTGCATTACATAGGCACCATTCTCGTATTTTAGATTATTAGAGCATTATTCAATAAGATTTCCAACTAAGAGCCAGAAGGAGTAGAAATTAGTGGATGTTAGAATTGTAATCCAACCATTCCTTTATCTTTCCCTAATCCAGAATGCTACCCCATTCACTCTTGCCAGGTTTGCCAAGAAACCCAAATTGCCAAGAGGCAATCATCTAGAATTCCAGTTCTGATTCTTTCTTTGGGAACACACTATTCTTTCATCCACTCTGGTCCAGTATGCCAATGAATCTATAGACTCACCAATATGGTTATTCCCTCCAACAATGTAGATTGAAGCCTGCTGATGCTTACATGACATCCTTCCCAATTTGGGACTTGACGGGGGATCCATTGAACGTGCTAGGAGCCTTCTTCATAGACTCTGGACATTGAGCAGGAAATAATGAAGGATGTGGGCTGGCTAATGGCTGTGATTCGTTCTTAATATCTGATCAATGCATTTTTTTCCAGTTATATATTTCTTCATCTAAATAACGCCTTGTTTGTGATGTGCTGTAATCCATCTACAACCAGAAGATGCCTCTGTAGCACCCTTGGGTGATCCTCAATAGGCTGTTCACCATGAACTCTCTCTCCTTCCCAGCTTTATACCTCAAAAGCCTTTGGCATCTTTCTTTATTCTACCCTAGTTGTCTTCCCTTCTCACTCATTTGTTAGTCCCTTGCCATCTGGCTTCTGATCTCATTACTTAACTTAAACCAATAATCTCTTAATTGCCAAATCCACATTTTTTGTTCAATCTTTGTCCTTCTTGACCTTTCTGTAGTATTTGTTACTGTTGACTACTCTCAGCTCTTGGATATTCTCTCCTCCCTGAGGTTTTGTGACACTGCTAACACTTGGTTCTTCTCCCTATATGACTGCTCAGAAGGAGAAAGAGAAGGAGGAAGTGGGGGAGGGGGAAGAGTAAGAAGAAGAGGAGGAGGAAGAAGAAGAGAGAGGAGAGAGACAGAGACGGAAACAAAGAGGAATAGAGAAAGACAGATAGATAGAGAGACAGACAGACAGAGAGGAAGGAGGAAGAGAGTTAAGAGAAAGAGGGAGAGAGAAGAGTCTCCTTGTTAGACTGGTGGGTGTACACCAGGACTGTATGCTAGACCCTCTTTTTTCTTACTTTACACTCTCTCTCTTGCTGACGTTACCAACTTTTGCGAGTTTTATTATTTCTTTACAAATGACTCATAGATCTATATATCTAGCCCTAGTCTCTCTCCTTATCTCCAGTCTCACCTCACCAACTCTCTGTTAGTTATGTTACACTAAACACCTCACAAGCATTTTAAACTCAGCATGTTCAAAAAAAGAATGCATTTACTTTTCCCCAAAAGCTATATCTCTTACCAAATTTACCTATATCTTTCGAGGGTACCATTATGTTACTCAGATTTACAGTTTTGTAATGATTCTTACTTCTCACTAATGTTCATCTTACAAATCCAACAATCTGTAAGTCTTGATGATTCTACCTCTGTACCATCTCTTTCATCTTTTTCTCTTTTCACATGGTCACTACCCCAGTTCATGTCTTCATCACTTAGGACCTGGATTATTGCAATAGACTTCCAATTGATCATTCTGACTCAACCCTCTCTCCTCACCAGTCTGTTCTCCATGCGTTGCTAAAGTGATATTCCTAAGTGACGAGTTTGTCAACATCATTCCTGTAGTCCATAAACTATGATGGTTCCTTATTATATTTAGGATCAAAAGCAAACTATTATGTTTGTCATTCAAAGTCCTTAACAACCTGACTCCAATCTACCTTTCCAGTTTTATTATACATTATTGCCCTTGATGTACACTCTGGTCCAGTCAATGTAATCTTCTTGCCAGTCCTCACATGTGGCAGTTCTCTCCTGGTTCTTCTCCTACTTAGCTAATACTCTTTTTCAGGCTCCTTTGCTGGATAATTATTTATATCCCACCTTCTGTTCATAGGCATATCCCAGGGCTCTGTCCTGGGCCCTTTTCTTTCTCTCCTCTTTTGATGATATCAGTTCAATTATCACTTCGATGAAAATGACTCCAAAATAGCTAATATTTTATAGTACCTTAAGGTTTGAAAGTGCTTTACATATCTCATTTGAGCTTCATAACAAGCTGGCAGGTATTATTCCCATTTTACAGATGAGAAAATGGAGCCTGAAAGAAATTAAGTGATGTGTCCAGTCACATAGTCAGTAAGTATCTGAGGCAGGATTTGAACATAGTATTTCCTGCCTACAAGTCAAACAATGCCACTTAACTGTCTCCAAAATTTATATATCCAGCCATCATTTCTCTTATGAGCTCCGGTCCCACAACATCAATTGTTTCCTGGCTGTATCTACCTTCATGTCCCATAGGCATCTCAAACTCATCATGCCTAAAACAGAATTTATCTTTTTACCAAAACTTATTTTTCTTCCTAGCTTCCTATTTCTTTCAGCAGTACCACCATCTAGCAAATTTTGGAAACTGAGGAGTTGTACATCAGTTGTGGAATGGCTAAACAAGTTGTATGCGATTGTGATGGAACATCATGTATTATCATATTATATCAT